CTTGGGTTGAAAACAATGTTTTAAGAAGTCCTTGAAATATGGAATTTAAAGGGGAAAAATGCTACCTTTCCCTGAGAGTACTTATTATTTTCTGGCTTTTTTTTCTAAAAGCAGTTTCAACTATCTGACAGTGAAGTCTACCTATATGATAGATTTTTCAAGCTCAACTTTTAAGATTTAAAATATTTAAAAACACTTCGAGCAAATTGTAAATTAGTTTTCTCCATAGATATCCAAAGTACCATACATGCATTTTCATCATGGATATTTATACATATAGTTGCTTCTAGGTGAATTTTAAAAAATTCATTTAGGAGATGAGATTAAATATATCCTGTAGTGGGAGTACTAATAATTCAAGGAGCAGGGACAAAGATTGATGCAGCATTAGAATCTTAACTCATGCTCTTTTAATAGCTCATTTGATTTGCCAATGAAACAGACCACCTAGATACAAATTCTAAACCCACCCTTTCCTTTTAATGTAAGAGCTTTCTAACAGAGAGAGTTGTTCAACAATGAATAAACTGTTGTGTGAGGGCGTCAGTTTATTACTACAAGATTTCAAACTAAGGCTAAAAGATAATCTGTCTGGAATTCTTAAAAGGATTCTTATATTGAGAGGTAGATGAAAAGACTTCTGAAATCCTTTAAGTTCTGAGATACTATTATTCCAATATTGTCTCTCCATCTATTTCTATGCTGCAGGGGTCCTTTCATAAGTATATCTACAATCATAATTATCTAGACCGCCTTGTGTCATTATTTCTGCACTTATGCTATCCTGCTTGAAGACAGGGGTGGTGTTTCACCCATCATTATATTTCCTACAATTTATATAGTTTCCTGTACACATTCATTAGATTCTTATTGAACATACTTGAAATTGTAAGCTTGATTGGTTGATTATGTCATTATAAAATTTAAGAACCATATTTTCTGCCCTGATCTGAGAATCTAACTTATTACTGCTGCAAGTTTCATGTTAGGATCAAATTACTGCTCTCTTATAAGGTGATAAGTGAAATAGGAATATTAAAACATTAACACAAATTTCGTTTTAAACTATTTGAAAAATGTATTTCCTCATGCATTTGTCCTTTCATCGAGAGTGTGAATACTATACTAGCATCTATGTATACATACATAAATATATACTTATAAGTGAGTGGATTTATATACATATAATATATGAGGAAGACATACCAACACTTATATACAATACGGTCACCTCTTGTCCTCACATTTTAGAAGTTATAAGATAGATGATTTAAAAACTAATTTATGGAAAATGAAACAAGTAAAATCAAATTTCTAAAATTATCTTGTTGTGGGCTGAACTGTGTCCCCCAAAAGATAATGTTTAAGTCCTAACTCCTAGTACCTGTGATTATGACCTTATCTAGAAATATGGTATTGCAGATGTAATCAAGTTAACATGAGGTCATATTGGTTTAGGGTGGTCCCTAAATTCAATAACTGTGGGGCCTCCCCTGGTGGTGCAGGCGGTTGAGCGCAGCACTGTTCCCCTTGGCGGTGTATTTCGGTCAGTCTGCCTGTTCTGTCTCTGGTGAATCCTCTCACCCTCCCACGCATCTGGCCTGTATTCCAGTTCTTGTATGCATGAATAAATAAATTTTTAAAAAAATAAATTCAATAACTGGTATCTTTTTAAGAAGTACATATAAAGATACAGGATCATATCCCATGTGATGACAGAGACAGAGATTGGAGTGATATGCCTACAAGCCAAGGATTTCTGGCAACCACTGGAAGCCAGGAAAGAGGCATGAAACAGATTCTTGTTCAGAACCTCCAGAAAAAACCAACACTGCTGACACCTTGATCCTGGACTTTAGTTTCAGAACTGTGAGATAATTCATTTCTATGTTTTGATCTATCCAGTTTCTATTCTATTTTGTTATGGCAGCCATTGGAAACTAATACATGTCCTTCACTATGGGACACATATATGATAATTGTTATGTTTAGGCTGACAAAATAGAGTGTTGTTACAAAAAAAAATCAACCATAAAATACCATGTAAAAGTTAGAATTGCTTTGGCCTAAAAATCAAAAATTGAAAATTATGGATCCAATACACAAGTTTAAAAGGCAACAGAATAGAAAACCAACTATAAAATCCTTGATTCTGCACATATTATTGTGAGTTGTGGCATCCTAGGGTGCAACTAAAACAATAAAAACTAACTGAATATAGTGAAATTAATTATCTGAATTGAGAAAGGTATACTGAGATTATCAAGATTACCACAATTTACTGTTCCTTATACAACTGAGAAGTATTCTTACCGCTATTCTTCACTGTCACCATTCTTAGTGTTTGTACTGAACATTCTGTAGAACTTTTTTTTTTTTTGCAGGTGGGTAAAGCACATTAGGGTTAGTAATTTTCTATGGCCAGGCCATCAGGCTGTACAATTCACACAGTAGTCAACAAGTAATGGTCAGTTATGACTCTTGTGAGAAGGCAGTTTCTGAAGAGGCACTTTCAGACACTCCTTGCTGCAATGAAGCTTAGAGGCTGAGTATTTAGGAGCCCGTGTTGGCAAACCCTTTGGAGTTACATAGGTGTGGAAGGATAAGGCAGAGCAATAACACCATGTCTGTAAAGAACTGTGCTTCAGCTGTGTGTGTACTTGCTCCAGGAAACACAAGCGCCATGACAAACATAGCAACTGGCCTATAGCTTGTCTATTCATTTTTTTTTTTATTTTTTTAATAATAAATTTTATTTTTATATTCCCCATACAATTGCAACCCCCCATTCTGATCCCAATCCCTCCCCTCCCGTCCCCCACCCCCCAAAAGTGTCTCTGTTTCATAGTTTTTTATTGATTCTGATTTTCACTTTCTTATAGTTATTCATTTTCCTGGTCCCTTATTTAAGTTTTCTAGATTCCTGCTATGAGTGAGACCATCCGGTATTTTTCTTTTTCTTTTTGGCTTATTTCGCTGAGCATGATCCCTTCCAGCGCCATCCATGTTGCTGCAAATTGCATGTGTTTATCTTTTTTGACTGCTGAGTAATATTCCATGGTGTATATGTACCACATCTTCTTGATCCAGTCATCTATTTTTGGGCATTTGGGTTGTTTCCAAAGCTTAGCTATTGTAAACAGTGCTGCTATAAACATAGGGGTGCAGGTGTTCTTTGGAATTGATGTTTCTGTGTCCTTTGGGTAAACACCTAGGAGTGGAATTGCTGGATCATATGGAAGCTCTATGTTTAGTAGGTCCCATCTGGACTTTTTAATCTGTCAATGATCTACAATTTCAGAAAGGATCATTACTGCAATTACATCTCATTCTGTGAGGCAGCCTTTATACATTCACAATTGGTTTATTAAATGTATGGCAAGTAAAGAAACTGAGTAACAAAGGCAATATTTATAGCTCACTCGTCCTTATCTAATTTGTGGAATAATCCTGTTCTAGTTTCAAGAGCCTATCCTGATCCCAGTCATCTCATAAATATTCAATTTTATGTATTCATAGGTAAATAGAATCTCTCTCCACATAAATATCTATTATAATCAATTCCATTGGGGCCATTATAAAAAATTCTTGGTGTGACAGTCTTTCCCATATTAAGGAATAATGTATCAGATTTTCATCATTTTGATTATTTAATAAATATTTTAGATAACTACTCCTATTTCATTAGCTTGAGGAAATTTAAACCAATTCTCAACTTCATTTCATGAGGATATGTATATCTTTTTTTAAGATTTATTTTTATTTATTTATGCATACAAGAGCTGGGGTATAGGCCAGAGGTACGGGGGAGGGGGCGGGGATGAAGGGTATTCACCAGAGACAGAGTGGGGAGCAGAACAGGCAGTTCTACTGAATGTATTTCTGTTTTTCAAAATGCTAATACTACCTACAATTACTTAAAGCAATTACTTTAGATTTAAAATTTTTAACACATGGATTTCTTATTAAAAATCCCTTAAGACTTTTGAATAGAAAATTGGGGTTTAAGTAAACATTTATAGCCCTTAGGGAACAACTGAGAAGCACATGATTCTTACAGAAAAGCCCTAACATATTAAGCCTGCATTTAATCAAATCAGTAGTCATGATGATGGATAAAAGGTAATTCATAGAAATGTAAAAGACCACAATTTATCTACATTGTCTTTTTCCACACTTAATTAGAATACAAAATTGATCAGAGATAATCAGGTTAAGTACAAATTGAGTGAAGCCTCAATTACGTATTATTTTCTTGCTATTCAATTAGCTTTATTCATCTTACCTCCCAACAAATTGAACATTTAAGAACTTTGTGCAAAACAGATCCTTAGATCAGTATAGTATACTATACTATAGTATATTAACACTAGTTAGTTTTAAAAGCTGCTTTTGATAGGTGACTTTTACTTACCAAGTGGAAACTAACAATTTACTAAAATTATAATTAAAAACCAGCATAGAAATTAAGTAGATAATTTAAAAATCATTTTACCTGTTCATTAATTGAGCAATCACATTTCATCAGGTCTAATTTTATTTATTTTATTTTTTTTAAAGATTTATATTTATTATTTATTTATTATACAAGCACTTACAGTCAGAAGCATAGGGTGAGAGAAATCACCAGAGCCAGAGCAGGGAGCAGAGCAGCAGAAGGACCGAAGCACACTGCTGAATGTACCCTCCTCTGGTTCGAACCAGCGCTGCAGAGCCGCAGGCAGCTTCGCAACCCAGCGCTCAACCGCCGCCACGGGAGGCCAGGTCTAATTTTATTTATTTATTCACAGAAATCAATTATTTTAAAGAGTCAAGATACAGCATGTGTATATACTATGGTAGCTTTAACAAGTATGATTGGATCTTTAACAAAGTTCTTATTTGGAAAACATCTTTGAAAATATTACAAAATAGATTTTAAAGGTATATACAGAAATTAACAAGCAGAATATTAGGAAATTGAGAAAAAGAAATAGGAAATGGTCAAAATTAAAACATACCATTTTGTTACTGCTCCGACGTGTGTGCATATGCACGTGCATGTGTGTCTCTCCATTAGTGAGAAAGCCCTGGGATGGGTGAATCTTAGTTGAAAATCTGCCTACTAGAATAAATGGAGAACTAGAATCAAGTGACAAAGGAGAGTTCATGACAATGTTGATTTTAGTTGAGGAGTTACAAGAAGATCCAGCATTGCTGTTTTCACCAAAAGTATCTGAAGATAGACTAGAAGAAAATGCCACTCATGGATACCAGAATTCAAGAGATCTCCATGTGCACTCTTCTTTGTCTACAAATGAACTCAAAATATGTGAAGCAAAGAACTTATACGAGTTACAGCAACTAGTAGTTACTAGATCAGTAAAACAAAACCAACAGTAACAATAAATAAAAATTCATCCACTGTATTTCCCATTTTGATTATTAAAACATGCCTTCTTGGCACACTTTTCAATAACAAGCTCAGCCTAACAAAGCACACAGAAGTCCAAAGTAGAAAATGGGTAGATGACATTTTTCCAAGCTTGTATGTTTATAACTTTTAATCTAATGCCCAAACCACACTTCTAAAAGTGTGTTCACCATATATGTGTCACACCAAAATGTTAGCGAACATTAATAATACCTATTTGCAGTGTTAGTTTTATAATTTCTAAAAAATATTTAACAATATACCCTACTTTTGAATATATATAATGGCCAAACTAGACTTAAAAACAAATGAAAAATGACCAATGAATGTGTAAAAGCCCATGCTAATACTCACTACACATTCCTATCTTGGGAATGTTGTTGGGTAGTTTCAGAAGACATGTTGGTCATGCCTGGGAAAGATCTCTTCGGCTGATCTTCAAATACCATTTCACCTATGGCAAAAAAAAAGCAGATCAAGGTAGATATGTTTGATCTACCATGCTTATTAGGTTTTTAATTGCAAAAGCAAAACTTGCTCATTGTAACTAGTTTAAAAATATAGAAAAACACAAGGGAACAATCTCTTTTATCCAGAGATAACCATTTTACAGTAATTTCTGAATATGTGTGTATACCTGATTGTTTTTAAAACAAAACTGAATGTGTGCTATAATGTGGATATATAATCTACTTTTTGTTTTCTCATTATTATTAACTAAATTCTATGGCATGATTTTATATAGCCATGTAGTAAGACTGTACCGTAAGTTTATTTCATTCTCTATTTTAGAATTATTATAAACTTCTTAAGGTTGCTGCTATCTTTACCTTGGTATATGTATACCATGAACTAACAAAATAGATCAATTCTTCTATAGCACATAATGATGAAAACAAATCTATTTTTAAAGATGGAGAAATGTCTAATTTCAAAAAACTGCACTGCAATAATCTCCAACTTGAAATAAATGTTAAGATGTACAATGTTATATGTAAATATGATAACTATATCTGGATGTGAGAAAAACTGATGTTCAAGCCTATAACTTGTAGGGTGGAATATATTTGAATGATAAAACACTAAGGCCACCTCCTCATTAAAAAGTATCCTCAGGGATAGAGATTCCACAGATCTTTTTTTAGGAGTATAATCATGGCTCATAGGGTCAAAGAGGTATAGGTCTGGGTATACTGTGCCAAGTCAGATTACACTTACACTATCATGGAAAAACTATTCATCTACCATTTTTCATTTAAATTAAAAGCAGGAGAAATCAAACAACTTTGTCATAGAATAAAATTAAAATTTCCTTTGCTAGGGCCATTCTTAATTGCAAAACAGTACCATTATTAATTGCAAAACAGTATTTACAACTGCCCAATTTCTACAGATTTCTCATAATTCCCACTTGAGCCCTTATTTGCTCGTGCTTATTCCTAATGGAACTGCTGCTTAGTACCATAAAATATGCCTTCGTAAGCTTAGAGACTCAAGTCTTTATCTCACATTCTGCCCCTTTACAATCCTCGTTCATTTTCATCCCTCTTCCCAGGGCCTCCTTCTGATCTTCCTACCCTCTTTCATGCAGTTACTTTTTAATACCCACATTTCATTTGTATTAACAGGTTCCAAATAGGAAATAATTTGTTGTTTCCCATATGAATATTCATGTTCTAAAATATAAAATAAAATTAGTCTAATATATTATTGTATGTGGCCAAAAATGGCCAGAGGAATTTTGTCAAAATTTTATAGGGTATGTTTGGGAGAGTATGACTTGCATTACAACTGATCCTTCAACAATGTTGGGGTTAGTGACATTGATATCCCACCCCACCTCTATTTTTCAAAATTTGTATTAACGTTTTTTACTGGAAAGAACTGTTCACATGGAAATGATTAGCATCACACGGATAAGCAGATACTGGGAACTGCTTGAGCTCACTGCAGCAGCAACGGGAGGTGGCTATGAAATTATTACAGTAGTGCATTCAACACTACAATTAATTTCATGCAGTTACTTTTTAATACTGAATCTTTACATTTCTCTCAATTGCAAGGGGGGCCACATATGGTCTCCATTTGTATGTGTAAGTTTTGATAAATTTCAAATGTTTACAATAAATTTGCACGCATGTTGTGGTAGGAAATGGTTAAAACAGACTATTATATACATACATTTTATGCATTAATGACATACTTAACTTTTTTTCTTAATTTTTTGGAAACTCCTAGGCTATGTGGGTCATCTGCCAAATTTTTCAATTGTCCCAAATCTTCAAAACAATTTTCCAATATATTTACTGGAAAAAAATCCACGTATAACTTGACTGACACAGTTCAAACCTGTGTTTTCAAGGGGCAACTTTATACACTGAGTGGGTTAATTAGAGTTCATTCTGGAGTTCTTAGGGACACCTTGAAGAAACGAGGCAGTCATTCTCTAGAAGAGCTGGAAGCCAGGTACAGATGTGAGATATGCCATGTCCAATAAGACACCAGGCGAGAACCAACTGTGTGTATTACGTCTAAGTTGAAACACAAAAATAATTTTTAAATCACAAATTCTAAGAAAATTCCAGGTACTTTCAATGTTTAAAACATTCTATGTGTAAATGCCTTAAAAGGAGAACTACGTTAATTTGGTAAAAGACTATCTTTAATTTGAGCATATTTTATTTTAACAATTCAAATGATCCCAACTTCCTAACAGCTCTTAAACTGTCAATATACTTGAATGTATTTTCAACACTTGTCAAACTTCATGAAGATCCCCCGGCCTAGTCATTGATCATCATCATAAAACAATGTGTTTGTCTGGAAAAGAACATCTTTCAAAAGACACCTAGTCTTAGTCTTGAAACACAATAAGCACATGTTGTATTAGGTATGTGGTTAGGAAGATTGCCATGAATGCATGCAAAATACAAGAAACATTTATGTATATTTCATTCTTTCCCTGCAATTTTGCTCTTCCTCTTTCCTTATTTTTTTCCTTTTCACCATCTTAATGGATTTTCCATAGATGTACATTTTTTTTCATAATTGAAGTATTTTATTTTATGTTCAAAGAGCTAGTTTCTGCTTTACAGTAGATTTCTCCACAGCCAATTCAAGGAAGATCATTTAGTCCAACTTAATGAAGCCTATGTCCTTGGCGTACTGACGGAAACACTGGTGGCACATGTTGAGTCCATATTTCCGCATCAGGCCGTGTCAGTTTGAGCAGACTCGGCAAGAGCGAGAACCCTGGCCGGATTTTCTCGGGTGACTGCAGCAGAGCTGTTGGTGACCCATCTTGCTTTCTTGGAGGCAACGAGGCCAGATGTACATTTTTAAAGTGAATATCCTTTCCTATTTATCCATTTCTCTTCTCTATTATAGTTAAGCTTTGTAGTAAGTCTGTAATTCAGTGGTGGTCTTAACAAAAAAGGAAAACTAGATAATCACAGAGATTAGTGAAGCAGCGTTGAGAAATGGGATTCCGGACTGTGAGAGTTAAAGAAAAAAACCTTTCTGTTCTTTTCCACTGCCCTTTTATTACTAAGTAGGTGGGCCACTTTCCATATATTTCACTAAAAATAACCCCCACAATAAAGTGAAACATCAAAGAACATTCCCATTAGCATATATATTCAGTATTGTAAGTGGATCTAATTTGTACCAATTTATTCATATGATATCACTGTGTCTATGTGGAGGCAGGGCAGGCCAGGGGTTGAGATTCAGCAAAACACTTGATGACTGACTCAGTCTATTTGTTCATTTGTTCGTCTCCCACCTAGTTTCAGAAAGTACTTAAGGCAGCGCTAGCTTGGTGGATTACACTTACATAATGAAAATCCTAATAGCTGATTAAACTGGAATTAAATTTCTCAATTCATATTTATATGACTTTTTATAGTTCTCAAAATATCATTATATAGTTCTGTTTGAGTGAAATAAGAGATCTCTAGTAACTTATCAAATATATTTTAAATAAGAAAATCCTTTAAAATGGATTTCTGAAAAACAAACAAAATAAACCAGTGATGCATATTATATAATCTTTTTGTCCTCTTCTGCCACACACTTGTTTTCTTTTTTCAATAAACATGTCTCCAAAATTATATGACATTGTGCTGCCCCAGGAATTTGCTTTAAAGCAGTGAAAATTTCCCCGTTTCATAAGTGTTTGTTTAATGCAATTCACTAGCAGGAAATAGTGGGGAGAAAAGGAAAAAGCCCATAAATCTTTAAAAAGGTATAGATAAGTTTTTAGAGAAACTTGGACAGAGAACATGATATTGAATTAAAATGTAACTCGAGTAAGTTGTTTAAGACTGCCTCGCTCTATGCCTTCATCAAAATAAGTAAGTAAATAAAATGGATGTCTATATAGAATTTGATTTTATATGACACTGTCTAAAACAAATAATTTAAAGTAATATTCTCACTGGCAGATAAAAGTACCTTTTCTTTTTAATGGTCCAAGGATGCTTGGCCTGAGAATGTTGGTGGGACTTTTACTTCTTTTTCTAAAATAAAATCATCACAATCATTACAAGAAAAATGAACAACAGTATCAGCTATGAGAATTTCATTACAAGAGAGCTAAGGTAAAGGCATGCACTAAAAGAAGACTGTACAGTGTTTAACATCATTTTATTGCTTTTCTCTAAATCTGGGTACAAACAGGAAAGCCTCAGGACAGTAAACTGTTGTAATTCACAAGCTGTGAATTTCCCAAGTTGTGGGGGAAAAGCCAGAAGGACCTAGCTGTCACACACCATGAATCAAGGTGAGAATCATAGGTGAATGAGTAGGTACCGTAATTTAAAGTGCTAAAGTTATCTCTGATCGTTATCAACAATTGGTAAGGGGAAGACTATGTTCAAACAGAGTTAATGAATTTACTGATTCTTCCTAAACTCATGTTCTCATAAGTTCTTAATGGCTTGATTCTTCTTTAGTATACAAAAATGATAAATCAAAATGATGACATTTTAATTTAGCTGAAGAGACATTACTTCTTTGGTTGTCACAGAACCCGGAGCTATAATTTCCTTTAGGTTTCCAAAATTCTTATTTTATAAGCAATTGGCATTTTCACACAAGATAAACTTACATTGTAAACTGTCGCGTAGGACTGGGAATAGGACTTGAAGGCAAACTGAAGCAACTCACACAAGTTTGTATTGATGGAGAAAAACACTGCTAAAACCAAATAGGAACAGAGATTTTAAAACTGCCACTTTTCTCAGGAAGCACATCAGTGGTTTACTAGGGTGGGGGCAGGGAGGAGATTTAGTGTAAAAAATCAAGAGGGAATAGTTTAGAGTATGGGAATTGTTCTAGATCTTGCTTTTGGTTGTGGTGACAAGATGGCACATAAATCACCCAAATTAATAAAACTGTATACTTCAAAGTAGGCAGCTTTTGTTATATGTAAATAATAGTTTATGAAATTAGAAGGAAGGGAGAGCTGTCTTTCAGAATCAGATACATTATAACAAAATATAACACATTATAACAAAAGATTTGGGTGGCAAAACATTAACATTTCATAAATATTTCAAAGGACACAGATTTTTAAGCACTCCTTTCTTACCTTCCCAATCCCACTGATGGAAGCTGGGGATATTGGATGTAAATCAGCAACGTTAGCAGATGGTTGCTCTAAATCATGGTCATTCTGTATAAGCAGAAAGCAACACATAGCTGTAGCACCAACTACTTACTTAGGGAGGTAGTTGTTGTATGGGGAGGGAAGCCCTTCTTGAGTGGGCGCATACTCAACATTGACAATACCTATTATATACACCAACCCTAAATTCAAATGTTTCTCTTTAGGTTTGACCTGTGCTTTACTATCGAAAACTACAATACTATGTCCACTAAAGGATCAAGAAGGATTTGGTTAGACCTAAGATATAAAAATAACTGTAGCTGGGCCTCCCAGGTAGTGCAGCGGTTGAGTGCTGGGCTGGGAGGCTACCCACAGCCTCTGCAGCGCCGGTTCCATCGCCCGTTCCATCCCCCGCCGCCAGGCGAGGGTCACACATGGCGCGTAGACCTCTCCGACCGCGCCCGCTGCTCCCCTCAGCAGTGTACTTCGTCAGTCTGCCTGCCTGTTCTGCTCCCTGCTCTGGCTCTGGTGAATCCTCTCACCCTCCCACGCTTCTGACTGTGCCCAGTGCTTGTATAAATAAATAAATAAATAAATCTTAAAAAAAAAAACTGTAGCTAAAAGAAATATTCATAAATTTTATGTAGACAAAATCAATACTGCATAATTCAAGGCTTAAATATGTTCTCGTTTGCAGGACACATGTCCCCTTGGTTCGTCTTAACACACAGATTCACTCACTCACTTACTCCCTCCCTCCCTCCAACACCTAAAGTAATTAGAATTGGGTCAGTTAAGCAAATCCAACAGCTTCTATAAGTTGTATGAGCACCAAAATATTAAAAGTGATAAGCTCTGGAGGTTATCTCATTTTTCAGGACTTAATCCTAAATCAAAGATAGATGCCTCTCTAAGGCACTGCTTCTGTTGATGACCCATTTCCTTATCTAATAATCCACAAATCTGGAAGTTGACATCAACCCAAAATCTCTTCTACTCAGATTTCAGTTCAATTTTTGTTGTCATGATCTGCGATGTTCATGGAAAGAAACCTTAAACATCATTCAATTACCACAACTAAGTAACCATAATGTAAACAGAGACATTAAAAAATGTGAGCAAGGGATGTAACTCAATTCCATAAGTTTAAATTAAAGGCTAGATGATAAAATGTCCGTGGGAGTATATGTGTTATAGGCATAGAAATAGAGCATTGCCCTAGTAAATCCATCATCTGTGGCTTAAAATTCTATTGGGTTAATAAATTATGTAGGAGAGTGCAATCATTTATTTTGTCATCTAGGCATTTTAACCAGCACAGTTGAACTTTTTTAGGTCCACTAGAGCAGAGAAGAAGTGGAGCTACAACAATGATGGTTTTGTATCTATTTCCTTTGAACCCCACTTTCAAACAATCATAATTATTTTTATGGGAAAGTCATAAAACTGTTTCTTAAGAGCAATCAGAAATTTCTTATGCAGCCTATATAATTTGTTTTCAAACCACTTAGATTTCTAGTTCTCATTTGAAAGGAAACTAGGCAGTGCCAACACCGCAAGTGAGTAAAAATTTCAAATTTTCTACAAAATTGAAGTGTTAATACCATACCAGGTTCAAATTTTCTTCCCAAGACTGACTTATATGTATTGATGCTTGTACCTCCCTACAAAAGAAAAGACATCAGTGCCGCAGGTTGCTTAGCTAAAAGATAAGATGTAACTGAACATACAAATGATCAGGGAATTACTTCCAAGTACATTACTCACCACTCATGCGCTGCTTCTCTATTTACTAAATCCATGCCTTCTTCCTAAAAGGCAAAAACATGGGAATAAACTGAATACTCTGTTCCTATCGGCTTTATAAAGGTTGATTTCATTTGGTTGTACCTTTATTATTAATCACTGGGCTATAGACGGGCTACAGTATACAAGGATCTCTAAACTAGTATCTGGCTCTCTATTTTTCATTATTGCACCTACTATACCAAGGTATTACTTATTACATACTACTTATACATTATAGTATATAAGATATGTAGGAACTGATTAGATTTTATATCTGTCTTCACTCAAAAGAGAAAACATCAAGCAATCAATATTATACTATTTTCCTACCACAAATACTATGATACTAGCAAATATTACTCAAAATCCAAAACAAACTAAATGCTAATTAGTATGGATTTCAGTAAACAAATGATTTAAATCTAGTCATTGACACTGAAAAATATGTATTACACATGAAGCAGGGGGAAAAACATGTTCTCTGTTTATATAAAATTGTAAAGGAGACATTCAGAAGAACGGTCACCAAAAAGTAACAACACTTACCAGTAGTTAGTGAGATGTGGGGTTATTTATTCTTTCTGTCTTTGTACTTTTCCATATTGTCTGATTTTTTTAATAATATGAAATTATCATTTTTCACAGTTATATATTCTTGAAAGATATACTTATTTATGCATAGAAGAACTGGGGTGTAGGCCAGAGGTGCAGGAAGTGAGAGGATTCACGAGACAGAATGGGGAGCAGAACAGGCCAATTTACTGAAATACACTGCTAAGGGGAGCAGCTGGTGAGATAGGAGAGGTCTGCTGTGCCATATGTGGGTCAGCTCCCTGGCTAGGGATCGAACTCAGTCTGTAGTGGTGATAATGCTGAGACTTAACCCCTATGCCACCAGGGAGGCCCCACATAGTTATTTTTTAAAATAACCCACATATGGAAAGTAGCCTGTATTCATCAATTGGGAGACTTATTATTGTTAAGATGGCAATACTATTCAAAGTGATCAACAAATACAATGCTACTTCTATGAAAATCTCAAAGGCATTTCTGTAGAGAGGGAAAAAACCCATCCTAAACTTCATATGGAATCTCAAGGAACCCTGAATAGCCAAATCTTGAAAAGAAGAATAAACTTGGATAACTCACACTTTGTAATTTCAGATCATACTAAAAAGCTACAGTAATCAAAACAGTGTGATACTGACATAAGAACAGATATATAGACAATGGAATAGAATGGTCTAAAAATAAACCTTTGTAGAGACAGTCAATTGTTTTTTTCAACAAGAGTAAAAGACTATTCAATGGGGGAAGGATGACTTTTTTCAACAAATAGTACTGGGAAAACTAAGCATCCACATGTAAAAAAAAATGACGGTGAAACCTTTCTTTATAGCATATGTGAAAATTAACTCAAAATGTTTTAGGTCTAAACATGAGACCTAAAACTATAAAACTCTTAGAAGGAAATAAGGCAAAGCCTTCCCAACACTGGATTTGGCAATGATTTCTTGGATATGATACCAAAAGAATAGATAATAAAAAAATAGATTAAGTTGGACTTCATAAAAATGTAAAACTTTTATGGATAAAAAGAGACTATCAGGCCTCCCCGGTGGCGCAGCGGTTGAGCGCTGGGTTGCGAAGCTGTCCACACCCTCAGCAGCGCCGGTTCGATCCCCGGATGCTCCCCAGACACCGGAGGAGGGTCCCACATGGTGCGCAGACCTCTCCTGCCGCCCGCTGCTCCCCTCAGCAGTGTACTTCGGTCCTTCTGCCTGCTCTGCTCCCCGCTCTGGCTCTGGTGAATTCTCTCACCCTCCCACGCTTCTGACTATACCCAGTGCTTGTATAAATAAATAAAACAAATAAATTAAAAAAAAATAAGAGCACATCATCTTTGAAAAAAAAAAAAAAGAGACTATCAAGCAAGTAAAAAGACAATCACAGAATTGGAGAAGCTGTTTGAAAATTATATATGTAACAAGGGATTAATATCCAGAATATAAAAAGAATTCCTACTCAATAATAACAAAAACCAAACAAATTAATTAAAATATGCACAAATGATTTGAACAGGCATTTCTCCAAAGAAGAATATACAACCGACCAATAAACACATGATTCTTAACACAATTTGTCATTAGGGAAATGCACATTAAAAGCAAAATGAGATACTGAATCCTCCAACTACAGTAGCTATTATTTTAAATATATGGAAAATAACAAGTGTTGGTGAGAATCCCAGCTTTGTAACTTACTATCTGTGTAACTTCAGGCAAGCAACTTAACCTGAGCCTCCATTTCTTCACCCATATGAAGATGATGATAAGAATGGCAAGGAGGTATTTGTATAGTTCTCATCACAGTGCCTGGCATATAGTGCTAATGCAACCTAGCTATTGTTTGTCTTCGGATTATACAGTAGGTAATGGGAAGCCACTGTGAGCTTTTGCACAGGAGAAAAAAAGGTGAAAATGCAGTTTTAGAAAGTTATGTTGGTGTTGTTTGTGGAAGTCAGATTAAACTGGCAGAGATAGGAAATCTATTAGAATATTATTGCAGTAATCTGGACCCAAGGGACAGAAGGAAGTGGTGGTGGGAACAGAGCAGATGTTGTCAAGGAAGAATTAATAGGATTAGACGCCTAATTGGATACAGTAGAAAAATAAGGATTAAAGATGAACATAGAGCTTTGAGCTTTAAAACTGTGTGACTATGACTGTTTTGAAGCCATTATGAAAAATGAGGGAAATTGGGCAAGGTAGTTTAAAAAGTTAATCAGTCTTTAAAAACAATGGAATATGAGTAACTCTTTTCAGCCAAATGTAATTGTTGGTATAGTTCTGCCATTTAATATTTATGTAAATGTTTTCTCTAGTGAGAAGCTCTAAGTATTTTGTAACTCAATCAATAAGAGCAAGTTTTCCCAGAACTTGGGCAGAATTTTGCTTGTTGTTCCTCTCATCAAAAGTTAGATGGAGAAAGACAAACACCACACCTCGTCACTCATTTGTGCTACAAAAAGAAACAAAGCAAACAAATGAACTAAATAAAACGAACAAAAAAAGTCGTTTAGACTGTGAGACCCAAATTAGTGGTTACCAGAAGGGAAGCGGGGAGAGGTATGGATAAGTGGAGTAAAAGGGGTCAATTGTATGGTAAAGGATAGAATTGGACTTTTAGTGGTGAGCTTAATATAGTATATGCAAACACTGATTTATAATGATGAACTCTGGAAACATAAAATGTTATGCTGCAACATTACTTCAATAAATTTTTTTTAGAAAGTAAAGTTGGAATATCAGTCAACATCAGTTCTTTTGAGCATTGTTAGTAGAAGGTGCTTCTCTTTTAACATTATACTTCCCTATTTCCAAAACAAATTTGAGATTGTTCCTAATGAAATGATTACTAAAATAAGGATAAAAGTTGAATTGCCATGTAACTGTCAAGGGCAAAGAGTACTACTGTGTGCTATAAACTTAGGTTAAGGACAGTCGCTGCACGTTAGCACTGAAGTTAGCTTTCAACTTTTTTTTTTTTAATTTAAGGTAAAAATGTAAATAGTAAATTACACACTTTAGCTCTCTGAAGAAGAGTATGTCTGAAAGATTTTAGTTGCCCAGTGCCAGCACAGTGCTCAATAAATGATTATTGAAAGTATGAAACCATTTGTAAAGTAAAATCAAAATTTCTTCTTAAACAAACTAGGCTATTCTCTTAGAGAACATTTCTTTATAAAAGAGACTAGGTACTGAGCAGGTGCCACAGAAAATTCAAAATCATATCACAGAAATCTAATGTCATTGCTTTACTAGATTAAAAAATGGTAGTGAAGTTCGTCAGACAGACCAACTGTGAAACCTGGCAGGCAAAAGAAAATGCTCCAACACACCTTATATATAACAGATAATATCTAAATTATCCCCATCATAATCATGCCCGTACTCCAGATGGTATAATGTGTTTTAAAATAGTTTCATCTCATAACGTTTCCTTTCATTTGTGTCTAAACCCAGTTTATTTTTATTTTTTTTAATATTTTATTTTATATAATTCTTACATCATTTTTCATTTTTGCACAATGTATGCATTTTCATTTTGGTTATATTCCCCATACAATTGCACCCCCCCTTATTTTGACCCTAGTCCTTCCTCTCCCCACCCGCCCCTCCCTCCCACCCCCATAGACACACTTTGTCTCTGGTTTATAGTTACTTGTTGATTTTGATTTTTACTTTGTATTAATTAGTCTTTTTCCTGGTCCCTTATTTAGGTTTTCTAGATTCCTGCTATGAGTGAGACCATCTGGTATTTTTCTTTTTCTTTCTGACTTATTTCGCTGAGCATGACCCCTTCCAGCTCCATCTATGTTGCTGCAAACTGCATGTGTTTATCTTTTTTGATTGCTGAGTAATATTCCATTGTGTATGTGTACCACATCTTCTTGATCCAGTCATCTATTTTGGGCATTTGGGTTGTTTCCATAGCTTAGCTATTGTAAATAGTGCTGCTATAAACATAGGGGTGCAGGTGCCCTTTTGAATTAATTAAACCCAGTTTAATCGATCCAATCCATGTAAGATAAAAAGAAGACTGCAATATATGTTACTAAAGTTTACATTTGTGAAGATTTAAACACAAGGGATGCTAGAAGTGGAATTTTTTTATTTTTTAAATAAATTTTATTTTTATATTCCCCATACAATTGCAATCCCCTTATTTTGACTCCAATCCCTCCCCTCCCCACCCCCCACCCCCCATAAAGTGTCTCTGGTTCATAGTTTTTTGTTGATTTTGATTTTCACTTTCTTATAGTTACTCATTTTCCTGGTCCCTTATTTAAGTTTTCTAGATTCCTGCTATGAGTGAGACCATCCAGTATTTTCCTTTTTCTTTCTGGCTTATTTTGCTGAGCATGATCCAGAAGTGGATAATTTTTAAAATCGATTTTACTTAAGATTCTACAGAGAAAGTCAACTTCTTACTGAGTACCGATGATTTTAAATCCTATATAACAAATCAGGAAAATAATGTGAAGTTACAAAACAAAATACTGTGAGCAGTGTTGAATTGTGCCCCCCTATGTTTCATTTTAAATGTCTATAACATATATTCTGTCACTAGGGAAATAAGTTTCTTTATAATTTATATTACTAACCAGAGTTATATTAGTCTTTATTTCAAATTTCCTATCAAATAGCGATATGCAGTCAATTTATAAATTTAGGGGAAGCCCAAAAAACCAAACTAAAACACATTGCGCACATAAGTCAGAGTTGCTGTGACTACCAGTTTTAGGTTCAGTCAATTAAGAATTTCTAAAGTAGGTATATAGTCACAAAGACAAAGAGTAACAGAATGTTTTATCTACTGAAAAGTAAAAATGTTTTTATCCTAGGGAAACCACGTATGGTGGTGAGAGGGAAAGAGGAGAGGGAAGCTGTAGCTGGGAGTACTAAAGGCTAGGAATTCTAGACACTATGGCTTTTGTGCTACCAAAGCAGGGAAAGGGTGGCTGGAAAAGAATTCAGTTATTTGGGACTAAATCTTGGCTCTGACACTCAGTAACTCTGGACATTGGACAAATTGCTAAACTTCTCCAGTCTCTAGTTCCTGACCTTACAAGGTTGTTGTGAGAGGAAATGGGACCACAGATATAGGGTATCTATTAGAATGCTAAGAGAATAATAAATGCTTCATAACAGTTAAGCCCCCCTTGAACAAATCTACTTGTAGTTGGGTCAAAATAAATCCCACCACCTGTGGTGGAGTGGTGATTTCATCTTTTCAGTTCTGTAGTTAATCCTTGGATAATTAAAAGGTTTAATTCTGTGTTATGCTTTTGCTATCAAACACACACACATACACACACACACATACATGCACACACGCATGCACAAAACATAAGCCAGGGAGGTACAATGTGTCCCTGAACTCAGATCACAAAGAAGTGACACAGAACAATCACACACAGACCAATTTCATCTGTCAAATAAAAAAACATTCTTCATCCGAGGGGTTTAAAAAAACTTGAAAATTACTTTTTATACCTGGAAGAAGCTAGATTCAAGATAAAAGAGTACACGGTATTTCTGGAAACTATCAATTTATTAAAATAGTGATTAACCTAAATAAACACAGGATTTCTTAGTTGCTTTTGATTTTGTTTTGCTTTAGAGAAGCCATTCCTAGAATTAAAAACTTACTCAAATGTGACCTCTTTCAGAATTACTGAACCAGAGGTATTTTTAAAAATAAAATAAAATCTACTTTTTAAAATGTACAGCTGTTCATTTTGAAGATATTCTTTTTTTAATTTTTTTAATTTTTATATTCCCCATACAATTGCAACTCCCCGATTTTGACCCCAATCCCTCCTTTCCCTGCCCCCCCCCCGAAGTGTATCTCTGGTTCATAGACGTTTGTTGATTTAGATTTTTTCTTTCTTATAGTTATTCTTTTTCCTGGTCCCTTATTTAGGTTTTCTAGATTCCTGCTATGAGTGAGACCATCCAATATTTTTTCTTTTTCTTTCTGGCTTATTTCGCTGAGCATGATCCCTTCCAGCTCCATCCATGTTGTTGCAAATTGCATGTGTTTATCTTTTTGATTGCTGAGTAATATTCCATGGTGTATATGGACCATATCTTATTTTGAAGGTATTCTTACCTGTTTGATTTGATGAAGACGACTAATGGAAGTCCGAAAGGGAGAAGGTGGAAAAAACTGAAATTTAAAACACAAAAGTCAAGCTTGTCTTCATGTTTTGATTATTTCTAAATTATGTCACTGTTGAATTACCTAAAATATTTGAGTGCTTAATACAAGATAGCAACAGTATTAAAGTTTAAAATTTAAAAAAAAAATCAAAAATCAATTGAATCTCCACTGAAAATTACACTATTCAAGTTTATATATATATATATATATCAAAAAGAACAAGATTATCTGTTAACATAAGAAATACGGGCAGAACATGAATAGAATATTTTGTTTATCTCTACCTTTCGCTTTCCAAAGCACTAGATCTTAAAATCACCTCATTTCTTGCCAGCTTAAGCCCATCATTAAAGCTTAGTGATAGGCATTGCCCAGAAAAGAGTGAAAGTCATTAAATCCGCAGCTAACTTGCCAAGCATACAAAAGAAACATAAAATAACTGCAACAAATATCTTGGAATCTACTAGGGTTTTTCTTTTCAGTAGATAAAACATCTTTTACTCTTTGTCTTTGTGACTATATACCTACTTGAGAAATTCTTAATTGACTGAACCTAAAACTAGTAGTCACGCCAACTCTGGCTTATGTGTACAACGTGTTTGGGGAAACCAAACTTTCAGAGTATGGAATGACCTAAGGCAGTCACTTTCAAGTAGGACAGCCTATTTTTACTCTTGCTTGCTCAGAGACTTGTTGTCAGGCACTTTCTCTTTTTCCGGGTACTTTCTTTCCCCTTATCAGTCTTTGCTCAAAGCTTTGAGGACCCAAACAAGAGGAAAATGAAAGAATGGAGGGATTTTAAAGCCGAGTGTAAAATGAGGCTTGAAAATGACCTTTAGAATTCATTTTTTCCATGCTATCGCATCCTGGTTACCTCTTGAAACAACAAATAATGAATTGGCCTTATTTTATATTAACATTGTATCTTAAAGAATACATTGAGTTGCACAGTCAAAAATATTTAATGAGCACCTACCATCTGCTAAACCACTGTGTTAGGATGAGGATCTAAAAGTTAAGACATTTTCCAGTCTTTGAGAAATTCAAAGTCTATGCAGGGGAAAGTAGGCCACAGGTAAGTGCCAGAACAGAGATATTATTTGTGGGCATTCGAAGGACGGAGAGAGAGAGATAACTCGCCTGGGGTCTTAGAGAAGGCTTCACAAAGGTGTTAGGAATTCATTAGATAGAGAAGAGGAGGGAGAGCACTTCAGGGAGTAGGAAGATACATTCAGGCAGAAGCATGCTTTGGGGGAACAGAGGTTCAGGGTGGCTGAAACATCATGGTACATGTGTTAAAGGGGATGGCAAGAAGTCAATTTGGGGGAAATTGGCTCAAACCAGATTGTAGTTGTTGGGCATTAGCCTATGTGCCCAACAGTAAACCTAAAACACATACACCTCCGAGTTCTTCAACCTCAAAGGTTTTCTGTTTTGTATTTTAATTTTCAAAATATCCATGAGCCAGGTTTGAGGAGGTAAAGCTAGGGTGAGGGATATGTCATACATGTTTAATTCACAACTCTAAAGATGTAGAGTTCTTCCTCTTCCCACTCCACCCCCTCCTTAGTCTACTGGGCCTCTGCCATGTCAGCAAGAACGGCATCCTTGTGCTTTGAACTGTTTCTGTGGAATCCCACAGGATCAAATGACCAAAGTGAATGACTTTAATTTTCCAGTAGAAGACTGTGGCATATCGATCCATCCTTGTAATAAAAGTCTCCACCTTCTGCCTACACATGCACAATCTATGTGGATGACAGATCCCTGGACTAAGACCTGAGGGACTTTCATTTATCTGAATTTTTTCATCATTTCTTAAAGTTGACCACCAAGAACTTTATCTAGAAGAAGAGTAATATCATAATATCTGAGGGATAATAATTTCAGCTTAATTAGATGCTTTTTGTTACATAAATACTGAATAAGCAACAAACAATTCCATGCCAGAGTTTATTTCTTCCTCACTTTCCAAATAAGCCAACTTCTCTACCCTTTAATCATAATGTTGCATTCTCTTGCTTATTTCTAGTCTATTTGATGTAACAATATTCATCAGCTACAGGAAAGGAGGAGGTAGCTGTTATATTGTTTCTGATAAATAGATTTTAATATGTTGATGCATCAAAAAAATGGCAACTTTACCAAACCAAAAAAATCCATCAGCTAACCACAATTTAAAAGGTATGGGGTTTCACTGATGGCAGTATATTGGAGTAGGTACCCTGAAAATACTCCCACTGAGAGCTTAAAATGTCTTGGATGAAATTTGCTTATTGAGGAATATTTGATATATAACATTATATTAGTTTCAGGTATAAAACAACAAATCAATATTTGTATGTTTTGCAAAATGATCACAATAAGTCTTAGTTAACACTCAAAAGTATTTCATCTTCTTAAACAAGAAGATCATATAGGTTTTAGAGAGGCAACCAAAGCAGAACATAAAGAACAAATTTGAGGGTAGAGAGGAGAGGGACTCAAAGCAGGGTCACAGGATACATACATGATAATGAGGGTCTGAATGAAAACGGAAGGAATGAAGGAGAGGCAGACTGGAGAAATGATCAGAAAGAGCAAAAAAAGATGGGTCTCCGGCTTCTAGCACAAAGCTACAGGTGGTGGTGGCCAAGAAGGTAGCAGGTGGAAAAGGTTGGTGTGTGGGCAGAAGACAGTGCTCAAGAATCTGTTGGATGAATATTTTTATGAAGTATACTCTGAATTTTTATTAGGTTTTAAAATGAATCATGACTTTTAAAGGGGCATATTACCTCACTAATATTTTGCTTAAGAAAATAATAAAAGTAGTTTGCTTTTTCTGACCATTTACTGGAAAGTGGAGGAAACAGCCAAAGTGGTAAAAGTCACAATAGAAAATTTGTATGTGGATAGCTGGAAATGCATTCCATATAAATTAGACTGTTACAATTCACCATAATATTTCATTATCATTAAACAGGGCTAACTTAAGTATTTCAATATTTATTGACCCCTTATAATGTTTATGGAACTATTCTGTTCAGACAGGAAGGAGAGATTAAATTAAAAAAAAAAAGTTATTGTCTTCAGAGACCTTACAATCCAGATGCAAATGTTGTATAAGAGAAAAGGAAGTGACTGCTCAATGGAGGCAAAGCAGGGTAGGAATGAAAAACCAGGACTAAGTGAATGGGCATATGGTAGCATTTGAGTTGGCTCTTGCAGGATGAGGAGTTTGACAGCATAAGCAAAGAAAAGTGAAAATGCCTGGCATGTGTTAGGAAAGGTTATTAGTCCCGTGTGAGCAGAATAGAAGACTCTGAGGTCGATAGAGTGAAGACAATGGAGAGACTTGACTTGAGTATCACTCAAAAAGTTTGAACCATGGAAAAATCATCTACTTTGGTACACACAGAAGAGCAGATTCTACCTAGCAGCACCATCTATTTTTTTTAAAGATTTATTTATTATTTATACAAGCACTGGGTACAGTCAGAAGCACAGGAGGTGAGAGAATTCACAGAGCCAGAGGGAGAGCAGAGCAGGCAGACTGAAGAAGTACACTGCTAAGGGGAGCAGCGGGTGGCAGGAGAGGTCTGCACACCATGTGGGACCATAGCCTGCGGCTGGGGATTGAACCGGCACTGCAGAGGCTGCGGGCAGCTTCGCAACCCAGTGCTAAACCGCTGCACCACCAGGGAGGCCCAGCATCATCTATTTAACTTTGGAATAGACATACTTGGATATTCATCAGCACTAAGTCTGGTTCAGTTTCTATCCAGAAGAAAGGTAAAAAGTCAGAGGTATGGAAGAGCTATGGACTACGGACTGGAAAGGAACTCAGACTGGCCTATACTAACCATATTCCTGATGGCTTTTTCAAAAATTTCCTAATACAAAACAATAATTCTACTGACTCCTGAAAAAAGTCAGGCAAACTTTTCTTGATAAAATTTACAAGAGTTATATGATTTGCTGCTATACGGAATAGTGTTATAAACAATGTGACAGAATTGCTCTTTCAAGCATCTATTTATATTTACATTAAATGTGATAATGGTGATAATGCATGTAATATGCTTAGCACAGCACCTGGCACATAGCATGTGCTCAATCAATGGTGACTGATTATTACTACCACTTCCACCATAACCACCATCATCAAACACTTCTAGAATTCAATGTTTGATTATCTATAAACAAAAACTTGGATTATATGTGGTAGATTTATAAAACTAGGCTATGTTTCTTATTCTTCATTCTTTCCCCTATCTGACCTGTTATTTTAACTAATTTTTATTAGACTTTTATTTTTTGGAGCAGTTTTAGGTTCACAGCAAAATTGAGCAGAAGGTACAAATACTCCCCTTGTCCTCAAATACACACATACAGAGCCTCCCCCATTGTCAAAAGCCATACAAGAGTGGTAAATTGTTATAACAGATGAGCTTACATTGACACATTATCATTCAAAATCCATAGTTAACATTAAAGTTTACTGTTGGTGTTGTGTAGTCTATGGGTTTTGTACAAATGCATCATGACATGTATCTATCATTATGTATTGTACCATAATAATAAGCACTTGTTATGTGCCACACATATCTTATCTCACACAGTTCCCACATTATTAATATTGTTACCATTTTATAGATGAGAAAAATTACAGTTTCCACAACATTATTAATATTGTTCCCATTTTATAGATTAGAGAAATGAGGCCAGAGAGATTAAGCAACTTGCCCAAGGTCATGTAGTGAGTAATTGCTAGAACTGGGATTCAAACCGAGATAATGTAGGCTCATTCACTGAAGCTACTCCTTGTTGTTGGACATTCATACTGTTGGACATTCACACTTTGGCTCACTCTTATAAATAATGCTGTGATAACAATATTTAAACTAATATTTGCACATACCCTTAATGAACTGTCTAGGATATATTCACAGATTTTGAACTTCTGGATCATAAGGTTGTTGTTACTTATTTGCTCTCCAAAGAGCCTGTACTTTCCATGAGAGTATGGGAATATTAATTGCGTTGTACCTTTTCAACATTAGATATTATCAGTAGTTTAAAAAGTAGTTTTATGCACATTCTTAAGGCATACTGTAAAAATAATCCAAAGCAAGTAGAAAATATGATTATACACAGTTTTGAATATTCTCCCCCAATGCTCCACTTTATTAGCACTGATCACTGAGAAGTTGTGGAGTGACATGTACCAAATCTGGAAAATTCAGGTTTCCCTTAAAAACAAAACCCTTCAAATGAACAAACACACACCCCTATGAACAAGCAGAATTTTACTGAGGTTAATTTGTGCTACTGATGCATATATTGCCATCATTCAAATGTTCAAAAAGTTCTCAATAAAGAATGTAAAACGCTAAGTTTTATAAGATTTATAATCTAAATGGAAATACATATTAACCTAAACTTAAATACATACATATACTCTATACACAGAAATTATGGTAATTAGCTATATTCTGAAATGTTATTTAAAAAAAGGAGAGAATTGCTTGGTATGACAAACTGTTCTAATTATGAAAGACTTCCTAGAAGAGATTATTTTTAATTGATATCTATGGGATGGGAAAGAACTGGTTTAGTTTTAGGCAAATGTTTAGCATATCCTTCTGGAAAACTTTATCCAGGAAATCCAGAGAAGACTGCCTGACTGAAATTGATGACCTTAACAGGGATATAGTGTGAAATGCTTGGAATAGGTATGACTTGAACTTGAGCCATAGGACTATAAGCCACAAAAAGTTTTTTTAATTGGACAAAATATTGGACTTGAATGATTATATTAATAATAATGTAGAAAACCAGTTGGAGAAAAGAAATCTTCCAAAAGAGACCTCTCCTAAAGATTGCATACTACAGGTGGTGTTTGCAAGTGAATTACCTTAGATAATTTTTCTACATGTAACAAAGTATTAAAATAGAGTTTCCTGAAATGTGAATAATGTCACTGATGTCTTTGGGGTAAATTTCCTATTGTGTCTTCTCTCATACTTTCGGGAAAAAAGTGCTTGTGAGCCTTGAGAGCAAGAGTCCCAGCACCAAGAAATGATGTCAAGGGTAGTGGGAGGCAGAGTGAGGAGTTGGGGGAGGTTGGGGAGGGCGCTGAGTGAAAATGACATCCAAGCATTGTCTCCAGTGATTGGAATAAAGGTGGAGGCAAGACCAAAGAGAAGTATTGTAAAGATATTTCATTGTTTAAAATAACTTTTAACTTTCCTAGGTTTGCTATTTTTAGCCCACTTCCTACTGTAGTTACTAGAGATAAAATAAGAGTTATAGGCTATGTTATGATATTTTTGCCTAATTCCTGAAATGCAATAAAGGTAGCTTATGACAATACTAAATATGAACTAAATGTAGGGTAGAAGGAATAGGGATAAAGCAGGGCCAGGAACATGTTATCCTCTCACTACTGGGTGGACCATAAATTGGATTTAGAGTTTGTATTGGCCATTGTGAAAAAGCAAAACCTAATCAGACAAATATCAGTAGCCATAAGATTATAATGGATGAATTGCTCAAGAAAAGCACCATCATTTCTGACAAGAAGATGAGACATTTCCCCTGCTTCTGTCGGAGGACAGGGTCAGGATGGAGAAAAGACTGGACTGCACCAAATTCAACAGAAGTGCCAGGGAAAGAATTCCTAGCAGAAGAGTGGGGAACAGGCATGCCAACTTCAGAGTTCTTAGGGGTTACAGCAAAGAGGTCTCCTGGAAGGAACGCACAGACTCCATAATGAGAAGAGGACCTCGGGTTTCTGCTCTTCAAAAGATGGAATAGAGTGATTTCTGATAGTGGTGAAGAAAATACTTGAACTTAAGAAAAAATTGTGAGATAACAGATTTTTAGAAGGTTTGGGAAATATGCATCTTTATGTGTTAAACGAAACCCACTGTTCTTCAACTCCTCTGTGACAGTGATTGTTTTCTAAAATGCTATTTTACCTACATTGAAATGCATGATTTTTAAAACTTTTGATTGTGGTAGAATGTACATAAAACTTGCCCCATCTTAACCATTTCAGTACAGTTCTCTAGTGTTAGGAACATTCATATTGTGCAACCCATCTCCAGAACCTTTGATCTTGCAAAACTGGAACTCCATACCCACTAAACAACACCTCCTTTCCCCCTCCCCATCGCCCCTGGCAACTGCCATCCTACTTTCTGTTTCTAAGACTTTCATTACTCTAGGTTCCTGCAGCACCAATTTTAAGGACAGTCCAGTATGGGATAGGACCCTTGCACTTATGGTTCTTGGTATCACTCTACAATACATGCATTTTTTCAAGAAAGATGTTTCTATTTTGTAATGTCATATATCAGAAATGAAAACATCTGCATTGTAGATGCTTTATGATAAACATTTAAATAATATAGAAATACAATTTCCCCCTATAATTCCATGCTTCAGAGATAACTGATAATTGATTATTAATTATCAATTACTAATCATTGATACTTATCCTTTTCAACATCTGTAAATATATGTAAGATCATGCTATACCTAAGATTCTGAACACTGGGTCTGGTTACTAGGTACAAAGGTTAGTGAAGCTGCTGAGGATGACAGAGTGGAAAGATGGAAGGAACCTGGGTGTCTAAAGACATCACTCAGACACTGAATTAACCACCTCTGGAAACTCCTTTCCTCAAGACTTCTTTTTATTGAGATAATAAATGTCCATTTGGTTTAGGCTGCTTTTAATTGTATTTTGTTACTTACTCTGATTCTGACTGTTGGCTATTTTTAAAGCTTCTTCCTGAAGCCTCCTTTAATCTTTTTATATTCTCTCTATAGGTTATATTACTAAATAACGATCTATTGATTTTGAAATATGTTTCTATGCCCAGATCTCTAGGGTTTTTTTTCTTTCTTTCTCTCCCCCCGGATCTTTAGCTTTGATGGACAAACTAGTGCTCAATAAATATTGGTAAATAAGTAAATGAGTAAGTGGATAGGAGAAAGAAGATTTGTTCAATGGACAATTCAAAATTTTTTCCCAATATTAGTACCTTTGTGGAAATAATAATGAATATCAATCATTCTATGAAGAGGATAATGGTCATTGTTAAGATTAGGAGGCAATGTTTTAAAATGGGTTCCAAGTTACAACATTTCACTAACATATGTTCTACAGATTCCATTGTATTAAAGAATCATATAAGCAAAATCTATTAAGAGCCATAGGTAAGCAATTGGATAATCTAGATGAAATGGACAAAATCCTAAAAATACACAAATTACCAAACTGACTCAAAAGGAAACAGAAAGTCTCAACAGACTTGTAACAGGTAGAGCAAGAATTTGTTTCAAAACCTCTCAACAAAGAAAAGTTCAGGACCTGAGAGATTCACTAGTAAATTCTACCACACATTTAAAGAGGAATCAACAGCAATCCTACTCAAACTCATGCAAAAACTAAAGAGGAGGGACATTCCTAGCAAATTCTACGAGGCCAATATTATCCTGATACTAAAGCCAGCAAAGATACCACAAGTAAAGTAAACTACAAACCAATCTCCTTTATGAATACAGATGATATCAACAAAATAATAGAAGACGAAATCCAATAGCAGATTAAAAGGATTAGGTACCATGACCAACCGGGATTTACCACAGGAATACAAAGGTGATTCAACAGAAGAAAATCAAAGCAATATGCCAAATTAACAGAAGGAGAAAAAAACCACATGATCTCAAAAGATGCAGAAAAAGCATGTGAAACAATGTAACACCCTTTCAAGATGCAAATACCCATCAAGCAGGAGTAGAAGGGAATTTCTCTACATGATAAGGGCATTTATCAAAATCTACAGCTATCATAGTCAATGATGAAAGACTGAAAGTTTTCCACCTGCAGTCAGGAACAAGACAAGGAGAGGTGGTGACTGAGCAACATTGTGAATACATAAAATGCCCCTGAATTGTATGCTTTAAAATAGTTAACTGTATGCTATGTGACTTTCACCTCAATAAAAAGATTCATGTAGTGTATCATTTATTCACTTTGGCTTACTGATCTAGGAACATTTTTCCTATGTTTACAGGGTAATGAGCAGATATGAGTTATAATTTAGAGTTATAACATCATGAAAAACAAACTATTTCCAATTCAATATAAAGGTGAGATAACTGTGGACCTAAAAGCCTGAAAACTACTCTTAAGAGAGTTTGCAAACTGTCCTTTCAAAAGTAGAGTGTTCTTCTAAAACTTGGACACCAGATGGTCTTATACATAAAAAAATCTCAATGTTAAATCCATACGGGATTAGAAAGTTAATTCTGCTGCAGCAAAGCAATCATAATTGAAGTAAATTTCCTTCAGTGAATGTTTAGAGGAGTGTTTTTCAAAGTGGGAACTTATTTGAAATGCAGATTCTCAGGCCGTGCCCCAGGCCTTCTTAGTTAGACTCTGGGTTAAGGGTCAGTAGTCTATGTTTTTACCAGTCTTTCAGGTACACACTCAAGCTGGGGAACCACTGGTTAAGTACAAGTCTTGGTGAGTGAGGCTGCTATAAGCATTTTCTTACCGGATAGGGTGGTGTCACAAATGTCGCACTATTTCTTCTAGTTCTTAATGATTCAGCATGCAACACTTGTGAATCATCACTAAGAAGAAAAAGAAAATATTTGTCATAGAAAATCCATTACAAAATTTTTAAGTAAGACTTCAAATATTTAAATAACAATGTCATTCATGTAAATGGCTTCTTTGTGGAGAGAGCAGGGCAGATGTAGAAACTAAGACACACACAAAACCTTTTTGGCTGAGCCTACACTGGTTTCCATGTAAGGAAAGGCATTCTCAAGCATGACACTTTACCTCTAATCATGCTACCAAGAATAAATATTATTGTGACTTTGGAAATACATCATTTTCTGTAACTGATACATCAACCTGTACATCAACCTGTAACTGATTTAAATTTATGATTGGAGCTACAGTGTGCTAAATCCAATTCCCTCTCACATGAATAAGAGGAACAACCAATAGCAGGGCTAACAGGACTGAGATGTTCCCATTTCATTTGGTCTACTCAGTGTTAAAATGTTTTTAAATTAGTTGCACACATTTGAAACACTGAGAGAGTTCATATAAATAATGCAGATTCCAGATTTCTGGCTTCTTTTGAAATGTTACAAGATGTTGCAACACTGGGCCACATTCCCACATGGCAACAATGGACTGAAGCTGAGCAGTCACTATCTACTGCAGATGGAGCATGTGTCTCCAGCTTTGATGGTGCCCGCCCACCTGTCCTTGGTCCTGCTGGAGCTTGTGAGCCTGAAGGAAGTCATCTCTTCCTTTTTATGTCTTCTTTTTGTTAAAATTTTATTTTGAAAAAGTTTAAGTCTCACAAGAAGTTGCAAAAAGAATAGAGGATTCCTGTGTACCTTTCATTCCGGTAAAATCATCTTTAACCTTTTTTTTTTGTTGTTGTTGCTACCTATATTCAATCAGGTGCCAGGTCTTTTTTAGGTTTTACCTCTATGATCTCACTTACATCCATCTTATTCTTTCTAGACTCCTTGCCAAAAACCAATTAAAAGTCTTTTTACTTTTCCAATTAGACTCGAAATAGTCTAATTGCAGAAAGAGCCTCCCTGCTGCTCTTTCCCTACTGCAATCCAGTAGGGAAGCCAGGACCACCTTCCTGAAGAACAGCTTGGTCTCTAGCTCCAAACTTTCTCTGACTCTCTTCATCACCTGCCAAATTCAGTGACATCCTTTACTATGACATTCAAATCCCTCCATGATTTAGTTCCAGGCCTTTGGAATTCATGGATAAGGACAATTTCAAAACAATATTTTGGCACAAACATGTTTACTACCATTTCCTTATACCAAGTAAGGTCATTAAAAAAAAATCTATTGGTGCGCAGACCTCTCCTGCCGCCCGCTGCTCCCCTCAGCAGTGTACTTCGGTCCTTCTGCCTGTTCTGTTCCCCACTCTGGCTCTGGTGAATTCTCTCACCCTCTCGCGCTTCTGACTGTACCCAGTGCATGTATAAACCAAACAAACAAACAATAATAAATAAATAAATAAATAAATAAATAAATAAATAAATAAGACATGCCTCTAGAAAATTAAAAAAAAAAAAAAAAAAAAGACGCCCAAAAGATTTAAAAAAAAAAAAAATCTATTAACACCATCGTTTCATTTATCAAAGGATATTTTGGTAATTTTTTAAAAAGTAGGATTACCAATCTCAGAATAAAGTACAATCCTGCCCAGGAAAGGATGATTGGCAACTATATATGGTATTAATATGCTCTATTTAACTTTTTAAAACCATGAATTGGTGCAAACATCACCTGGGGTCAGGGCTGGTCAGCAGAAAAACACTTAGGGGCTGGTGAGGCAGGCAGTTGACCAGCTTTCTGGAACACAACTTGTCTTTTTTTTTTTTTTTTTTGCCTCCAACCCCATCCCATATACTTAGAATGCTGTTCCAGATCTCCAGCCCCATCTTTCAGTCCGCATTCTATTGATCAGTAAGGCGTCATCTCAAATGCTAACTCACCTAGAACCTTTTCCATTAATCTTCATCAATCCCACAGTCATATCTCACTCCTTTGAAGTCCCCTAGCACTTCCCCCCCCAAGTACAGATCTTACCCTACCATGTATTTAAGTTCATTATGTTTTCCCTATTTAGTTAGAAGCTTTTTGAGCCTTAAGATACAACTTTGTGGGGCCTCCCCGGTGGCGCAGCGGTTGAGCGCTGGGTTGCGAAGCTGCCAGCAGCTTCTGCAGTGCCGGTTCGATCCCCAGCTGCTCCCTGGCCAATGGAGCAGGGTCCCACATGGCGTGCAGACCTCTCCTGCCGCCCGCTGCTCCCCTCAGCAGAGTACTTCGGTCCTTCTGCCTTCTCTGCTCCCCGCTCTGGCTCTGGTGAATTCTCTCACCCTCCTGCGCTTCTGATTGTACCCAGTGCTTGTATAAATAAATAAATAAATCTTAAAAAAAAAAAAGAAGAAGATACAACCTGGGTCCTCTTTAAAAAAAAAAATACAACTTTGCAGCATGGAAATTTGCATATAACAGGCATTAACAATGTTTTATGAGAGGACATATGTATAAGGAAGTTGGAGGGACACTAATGGGTTATATATTTCTACTATCTTTTGTGTGGGGGGTAATTTTCAAGGCTAGCAATTATATTCTCCCTCAAGCTTTTGCCTGCTCTTTATAGTTAATAAGACTACAAGTGAAAGAAATAATTGTGACAGCATATACTTCAATTATCATGAGTCACTCAACACAAATTCATAAAATCCTACATGATATCTAGAACTGAGTTAAGTGCTACTCACAACTTGCAAAAGGGGAAGGTAATTTACGTAGATAAATGATCAGTGTGCCAAAATAAATGATCGGTAAGCAGCTGTCAGTTATATTCCCAAAACAGCCATACTTCATGGTCACTATTATTCTGCAAGATCTTTAAGAGTTTAATAAACTAGATGGTTGGCAAACTTGTTCTGCAAAAGGCCAGAGAGCAAATATTTTGGGTTCTGTGGGTCATACAATTTCTATTGCAACTACTCAGCCCTGCCCTTATAGTGAGCAAGTAGCCATGAACAATTAAACAAATGGGCATGGCTATGTTCCAATAAAACTTTATTTACAAAACGAAGCAGTAAGCCAGATTTGGCCCACAGGCAGTTGTTTGCCTTTCAAATAGAACTGAGGCAGTAACAGATTAAATGCAGGATCAGGCTAAAGGTATTTAAAGGGAGAAGGCACAGTCAGAAATCCAAGAATTTAACTTCCAAGTGTGGTAAGGGGCCAGAGAAGTAGGAGAAAAACCTACTATCTTTCAATAAAGTTTTTTTTTTTTTTTTTTTTTGGTGGGACCCTCACCGGCGGCCGGGGAATGAACTGGCGCTGCAGAGGCTGCGGGCAGCCTTGCAGCCCAGCACTCAACCACTGTGCCACCAGGGGAGGCCCTACCTTTAAATAAAGTTAATGACACCAGTAGTGAAGTCAGCCCATAGAGGGCTAGAGTATAAAGAACCAAGAGGTTCAAAACTTTTGACACTGATATTTTTATTAATACAAGATGTACACAGAACAGTGCAGAAACTTCTTAAAAGCAGTAATACTTGTGTCAGTGTTGACATTAAGAAACAGATTTTGCTAACAAAGGCTGGTGCAAAAAGAGATTGAGTCTTTATATAGAGGAAGCATCAAGCAAAATTGGAAAATTACTTGAAGTGTAACAATATTTAGTGAGGCAAGGCAGCAAGTGCTGGAGGACCAACTAAGGGAAGAAGTGATTAAAGTGAGCGGTGTACATGCACACCTGAAGAGAACCAAGGTGAAAACAAATTGCGCTGAGACTCAGTGTAATTGTACTAAATTTTTCTTGTTTCAGTGTGACTTCTATGACCGACCATATGCTACACTGGTCACTATAGCACAAAATATGCCCCGAGGATATCATTTGGGCAAGTCCCCTGACCTCAGGAACGTTGTCTACCATTCCCATGTTACTTCTTTTTAATAGACAAGAGTCCTTGGGCTTGGTCCACATTGTGGTTTATCTTCAACTTGTACTAGATTAATATGCAATTGCCCTCACCTTTCTGTGCAAATTTTACTTCATGCATCAGGATCTCAACATACAAACTCCATGCTGTAAGATCAGGTTTTTTACAGAATTCAACACTGTAACTATGCTCTAATATAACAAAAATTAAAATTTTAAATCCTTTGCAGAAGTAAAGTATGAAGGGATAACTGTGATTTCTCTTTGCTTCCAGGACTTTGGGGATTGGGGAAGGCAGGCCTGGTTTCCTTCCCCAGTACTTAATAAACAGGATCCGTGTTTTCCTTCAAGCACATTCCTCCATCATCTATATGCTGCATTTTTCATTTCATAAAGCTTTGCTATAAAAACATTCTCCCCAACTGCTTTCTTCTACTAACAGAGTAGGTACATAACAATTCACTCACACAACAGAATTAGAGTAAAATCCTGAATTTATAGTGTTCTTGTTCTCAACACAACATGTAGAACCACCCACTACTACCCTTTATTTTCCTATCTGCTTATTTAATAAGGGAATGTATTATTTTTTAATCAATCTTACTTTGCTTTTCATTTTTATGGCAATAAATTCTCCCTTACTCAAATGTCCAAAAAGCTACTTTTGTTCAGAGTTAATTAGCTTAAATGTTGCTTAACATTGGACAAAGCACTAGCTCAGGAGACATAGGTTCCTTGGAATGGCTCTACTACTGTGTCATTTTAGACCTTGGTTTCCTCACACATTAAATATTGAGGGCAGATCTGATCTGAGTTCCCTCCTTATTGTTGTGAATTGCAACTATCAATTGGTATTGATTTTTCAGACATTTTTGCACTATATGAGAAAATGTTATATATTGGGATATGAGATCCATGATCTCACTTTTAAATTCCATTTTAAGATTTAAGCTTGAGTCCTGCCAGGCCCTTGGGGATGTACAGAGATCACAGTTAACTATCAATTAGGGAAGTGTTTCTAAATTTTTTTTTTTTCATTATCAGCCCACTCAGGAGCCTTTTTAGACACTCTCCTCCCCCAATGGCTCCCTCTCTTGAACATTCCCAGGAATTTTTAATACCACAGATATACTGTCTATCTGTTTATGTACTTTATGTATATCTGTGCTTTGCACATAAAAAAGTGTAAGTTTTTTTTTTCAACCCCGCCCATCTACCATGAAAAGTACCATGAAATGTTGGGGGCAATATCAAACATTTTGAATGCAAAATTTAAGTGATCACGTTTCTGATCAAATAAAACCTAGGTGTGAAAAAGGCCCATGATTATTTGCGTGTGTCAATCATTTCCATCCCAGAGTGTGCTGGAGATCAAAGTCAGTGATGACAAACCAGCAGAAAGAAGACAAAAATTACACTTCGCTCAGAACTGGAGGTAAGGGTGGGGGGTGCTTAGTTTCTTCACAGGCGTGAGAAAGAGATGGGGTGAAGTTAGAGAAAGTCGTGCTCCACACGAATTGGTTGCTGCTTTCAGGTCCTGATGGACTGTCAAAGAGGATGAATGTTCAGGTTCGAAAGTATGTCAACCTCAGTGTGGACATGAGCTCTCCCACTGGCTCCCGCCCTGGTCCCTGAGGGTGGGACCGCTGGACCTAAGGGCAAGGGACATAGCAGCAGAATCTTGATGAACAAAGGGGTGCAAATGCTATCGGGAGTCACCTTCTGGCCACCCACCCCTTGCTTGCCTCCTCTAGTATCTCAATCCTGCTCACCAGAGCCCACAGATCAAAGGTGCGCTGTTGGATCTTTTCAGGATGCTGTTCTCTTGGGTGGTTGCACTCGACAGCAGCTCCCAGTCTACTTCCATTTTCTCCTCTGCCATGTCCGTGTCGCGGAAGAAGTCACTTTGTTGGGTGGTCTCCAGGCTTTCTGGCTGTCCTTCACATAAGGACAAGTCGACTTAGGTGGGGAGATGATGGAGGAGTTGGGGGGAAGGAGAAAAGTAAAAAGGAAAACTCTTAGACCAGCGGGGTGCTCACTTTTGCAGCCAGCATCCCTAACACCAGCGGGCACAAGTGACACAGACTGGCTCTGAATCTCCCACCCGACCTCCCTACCTCCGCCCCCCGCCATGCTACTGGTCCCTAACGCTGCGATCCTCCACCTCCAAGCCTAGAATGAAAATAAGGAACACCTTTTTCTTAGGCACCTCCGCGAATCCTTCTCCTTTATCGCTCTCAACCAAGCCAAGTCAGGTCAGTCTTGCCGATCAAAACAAAACCTACAAATTGCCGCCTTCCAGAATCACTTGGACGCCGCCCCTCCGCGCATGCGCCCCGCGTTAGGCTCGCCGACGCATGACTACTACGCTAACAATGAGCTTTAACGCATGCGCTTCGTCAGCTCTGCCAGGAACGCACGCGCGGTCCAGGAGCCGCCTTTCCAACCCCCAAACCTAGTTCTCCCTGGTCTCTGCCTGGTGCATATTTACTGTGGTTGTGCTTCTGCTCCTGTGTTAAGCCTGGAATTGTTTCATTAACCCATATTTTTTTAAAGAAACGGTGGGAAGGAATAAGCTGTTTGGGCGCCCGTCCTTTCTGATCAATGTCTAATTTTCTCAATTTTCTGATTTGGTTAGCCTATTTTAAATCTCCTATGATGGAACCAACTAGCTTGTTAGGTCCTATGATGAATTTTTCCATCCTGACACACTACACCTTTGTAATTAAAAGCAAAACAAAGCAAAAAACGCCAACCTGAACTCAGGAAAGAAAAAAAAAAACACTCCTCATAGATTAGAGGCCAAAGGGTTTAGTCAAGTGCTAACCCAATTGAACCTATTGTGCAGATGAACCATTGTTTTCCGTGTGTGTGTGTGTGTGTGTGTGTGTGTTTTACCATAATCTGACAGTGTTTATTTGTTTTCCTTGTGTGTGTTTTACCATAGTCATACATCATATATTTTTACACTGAATAAAAAAATCTAGCTCCTCGGAGCTATTTATCTAAGAAAAGATTTTAGACAAAGCAAGGAGGCTTATTTTCGTAAGTATCTCAGGATTTAGTATCCATCTGAATCAGTTACGCTTCATATGGCTGTCATGGCTGAAAACATTTTAAAAACTGTTCTTTTGGAATTTTTCACTACAGCTAATGAGCCACATTGAGTACTGAAATTTTAACTCCATAATTATAATTTTGTAAAACACACATTTTAGGAACCATGTTGAGAACTGGCAGAGAAGGCAAGTGAAACTAGTGAAATGGGAGTTATTAATTAAAATACTCATCATATTTGTATAGCACTTTACAGTTTAAAAAGTTTTCATATACTTATCTCAATCTGTTCAAACATTCACCCTGTTCAGCTAGTAAGTGTTGAACTTAAAATAATGGGATTATCTTGAAACCATTTTTGACAAGTTAGGACAGGAAAGATCTAATCACTTTTCATTCATTCTGAGAATAGAATAAGCAAAGCTTAAGTATGTTAGGCAAAACTGATTTTCAGAAATCCCAAGCATGAGGACAATTTGGAGTCTCCATTCCTGATGTAAGGCAAGTTAACCATAGTTACCATTTTGGGGGAAATTACTTTGTGCTAGGTCCTATTCTAAACACTTTAAATACGTGATAGAATTTAATGTGATCTGTGAGTGACGATTTATTATTATTATTTTATATATTTTTTGCATCATTCTTCATTTTTATACAATGTATGCTTTATCATCTTGGATATAGTTCCCGTGGATGTGAGTGGCAATTCTTCTGTGAGGTAGGTACTACCACAATGCCATTTGGAGGAAACCAAAGCCCAGAGGGTTTACTCAAATTATAACTACCAAGTGGCAACGCAAAGATTCCTCTGCCCTTCTATTTAATGAAAAACAGACAACATGCCTCTGGGTATCTCTCTGCAAACTATTTCTGTACTCATAAGCATTCAATAAATACTTACTAAATTATTTTATGAATAACGCAGACTTAAACAACCTGTCCTTCACAGCTATCTTGTAAAATAGATAAACCATTTCTGTTTTACAATTGATAATCATCATAGAAAGATTAATGGCACATAATTAGGTAGAAGTAGAATCTGAGCAGGTATCACAATCTTCTGAAAACCACAGTAAAAGTTCCCAGTACCTGGAAAGATGGTACTTACAGTGAAGTTAAGTAAGGGTGAAAGCAGAAGTGAATAGTTAAACACAGATTAGAGGGTCTAAATCAAACTGAGTAGCAGAAAAATATGGAGTACCAGCAAACAAAGTAGATCTTACCTCCACCCTACTGCTTATTTTACTTTACAAAGCTTTGTTAATATTCTTGGCAAGATGAATAAAGTTACTGGATATATTTGGAATGAATAGACAAAATTTCTTATCATGCCTAGGAATTACAGATATTTAAATTTTTAATCTAAGTACAATAATACAATGAAAATAGGTATAATCAAATGACAGGAAAAGAAAGAGCAACTAAGACTTTCTAGAAAAGGAGTAGTAATACAAAAAGGCAAAGTACATGAAATGGCAGTACATTTCCAGCTATTACTAGAATTCTCTTTAAAGTGCAGTTGCATGTCAGAATACCAAAACCAGAAAAGATATAAATAAGACTCAAAATATATAAACATGTTGGAATACCAAAGAAACAAATATTATGACACAAAAGAATTCTGTTTACTACAGAGGAAAAAGTGACAGTTAAAGAGATTATTTTTGTAAACCTGAAACTCCTCATGTTATATGTGTCCAGTATACCTTAATTAAAAATAAATTTACTTATTCTGATTTCTACCCACACATTGTTATTATACCAACCTGAATCTGTTTCGTGATCAGCACTTTCTGTTCCATAACAATATGCCATGGTTTGTTTAGCTCTGTACCTTGTCACTTATGCTACTTCTCTGTTGGTATGTCCCAGTTTGCTGCCATCTGCCCCAGGTTTCTTACCTATAAAGGGTGTCCCACAAACATGTCATAATTAGCTCTTTACTGGTTATCATGACAACTTCAAAGGTATATATTAACTTTCAGTTATCACAAAAGCAAGTCAAATACAAGGACAAATACAAACCATGAACACCCAAACTTCCCAAAAGATTTACATGAAAAATACAAGAAACAAGGAAGGCAAGAATGATATGAATAAAATCTAGAAATGTGGCCAAGCTAACATCTCTCTTCTTATACATTCTTGAGTTTCTCCTAATTATTAAGTTCCTGAAAGTTAGGGATCTAGTAAATTGTTTACTCCTCAGAGTTAGGAACTGTGCATATGGTCAACAAATGACTAGCTATTATGAACAATACAATGTACTATAATCTTTTTGAGCAGATGGGGAGGGTTGCTGAGACCTTGAGATAAAAAGAGATACTTTTCCAGCAACAGAGGCATGAAGAGCCGGTATTTCAACCCAGCGGAAAAATGCAAGCTTTGATTGAAGAGAAGACCCGCATAATGCTTGATAAAGTTCCAATCTTCAGCTGCTTGTCAACAGGCCTGAGGGCACCTACTGTTTCAGGTTGCAAAACAACTTGGCGATTGAAATCCTGAAGTTGTCTGTACACATCTCTGGGGACCAGCTGGTATCATTGGGCCCCTTCTTCAGAAAATTCACTTTGACCCACAAGTTCTGGTTGCACATTACAGCTCTTCATTACCCTTGTACCTTCTGCCAAGTATAAAGTGCGGATAAAGCCTGGAGCAGAGCAGTCCTTCTTGTGTGGGAACCATGTGCTAAAATCTGGTCAGGGTCGAATCACTGAAAATATTTATCAGTACCAGGGGATGGTACTGGTACAGGGTAAGTGTGTTATTTCATCAAGCAGAATTTGGGGAATTTGTGCACCATGAACAGATGTTGACTTAAGACAAAATCATGACAAGGACTTATGGCTGTGTGGCAAGTCCTAGGTTTGTTTCCTGTCTCTGTGTAGACTCCTCCATCATGCTGAATTTTGTGAACACTGTGACCTCTGTAGGGATCTCTTAGTTTCATAGTCTCTGTATCATGGATGAATGCAGGCTGGATTCTTACTGTGCAGAAATGGTTAAAAAATGGGGTTTCTGGGCCTCCCAGGTGGTGCAGGGGTTAAGATGCAAGCTATGAAGAAATCCTCAGCCACTGCAGCACGAGTTCAATTCCTGGCCAACCAGGGAGAAACCCACATGGCGGGACAGACTTCTCCTGTCTCGCCCGCTGCTCCCCTCAGCGGCATACTTCAGTCCGTCTGCCTGTTCTGTTCCCCGCTCTGTCTCTGGTGAATCCTCTCACCCCCCCCATCTCTGGCCTGTACCCCAATTCTTGTACAAAAATGAATAGATCTTTAAAAAAATGGGGTTTCTGACCGTTGTTTGTGACTAAATAGAATACTGTGTCTTATAATGGAATCAGAGGGTTTCATGTTGTAACAGGTTCTAAATCCTTTGAACTGAGGGCAAGAATAGTTCGCTTTAACCAGTGTGTTACCTGTGTTAAAAATGGTTCCCAAACTCATGATTAGAACATAATGGATTTTCTCCATTATCTACTAATATTATGAAGGATACATATTGCCATATCGGAATAATGGATCACATCTAGGATTTTACAAATGAAATTTGTCTAAAATAATGCAAGCTACTGATTTGGCTAATTTTCTATACAATAGGTGCTGTGTGATGTAGAAGAAAAACTTGGATTCAAACTCCAGTTCTGACACCTTCCAGAGTGAGTTAAGTTGGCCTGAGTTGAGTCATTAAACTTTAATAAACTTCATTCTCTACTTTTTAAAAAAAACAGCTCCATCTCCCTAAGATAGTTTCAAAAAACAGCTCCCTAAGAATAGTTTTGAGTATTAGAAAGCACGATTGCAAAGTACTTAAAATAGTTCCTGGCAAATAACACATAGTAAGAAACTTGTTTTCTGGAACTCCCATTTTCTTGAATGGCATGATCCCAAGCTGAAATGTTTTCATCACCTTGATTTCCTAAAACACAATTTCTCCCTGAACCTTTACTTTCCTGACCCAACTGGACAAAAAGCACTCTCAGAGACCCAGAAATAATTCAGCTACTCCATTCTTCCCTATGCTCCCCTAAACTATTTTTAGAATCATTAAAATATTTTTTTAAAATGAAAAACATTTCACCAACAAAATTTTTTTTAATTAATAAATTTTATTTTTATATTCCCCATACAATTGCAATCCCCCCATTCTGACCCCAATCCCTCCCCTCCCGCCCCCCACCCCCCAAAAAGTGTCTCTGGTTCATAGTTTTTGTTGATTTTGATTTCACTTTCTTATAGTTATTCATTTTCCTGGTCCCTTATTTAAGTATTCTAGATTCCTGCTATGAGTGAGACCATCCGGTATTTTTCTTTTTCTTTTTGGCTTATTTCACTGAGCATGATCCCTTCCAGCGCCATCCATGTTGCTGCAAATTGCATGTGTTTATCTTTTTTGAATGCTGAGTAATATTCCATGGTATATATGTACCACATCTTCTTGATCCAGTCATCTATTTTTGGGCATTTGGGCTGTTTCCAAAGTTAGCTATTGTAAATAGTGCTGCTATAAACATAGGGGTGCAGGTGTTCTTTGGAATTGATGTGTCTGTGTTCTTTGGGTAAATACCTAGGAGTGGAATTGCTGGATCCTGTGGAAGCTCTATGTTTAGTAGGTCCAGAAATCTCCACACAGCTCTCCGTAGTGGTCACCAACAAAATTTTTTAAAGACTATCTGTATTGTAAAACAATTTCTTTAATGAATATACTGATTATTTTAAATTCCAAAAGTGACATCTTTAAAAATAAAAACATTTTTTCAACTACAAAAAAGAGAAGATGTATGTACATTGATTCAAAGCAGAGCTTTAATTTTTAATCCAGCTGATGGGAAAATATGGGCCATTTATGGAATCCATCTTAAATCTGGTGCATTAAAAACTCCTAAGCAGAACACATAAACATTTGAGGAATAAAATGAGGGTTGGCTTGGCAAGTTTAATATGGAACAACTGAATTGAAGAGATAGGTAAAATTATTGTTGCTAAATTTTGAAACCAATTTCATAATTACTGTATTTCGTACACTTTCTAGGTATGTATGGTTAACACAACAAGTGGCCTTCTTTTCCCCATGGTCATTCAAGTGGTGAGGATTAAATGGATATTTCTAAAGCTCTTATAGTGCCTAGTCCGCAGTAACTGCTATGTGCTTGTTAAATAAAATAAATCATTCCAGGCCACAGATGTAGTGATTCATGATTGTTAGGGTCTCTGCAAATCCTAGAAAGAAAAAAATGTATTTTGGTTCTGCTACTGGTTCTTCAGGACTTTTCCTACTATCCTTGAAATTAATGATGCTTGTAAAATGGACATGAGTGTTTCTTACTAGCTGTAAGTAGTTGGATTTGATTCTTTTTATTTGCACATTATTGCTTTAAGTTTTTTCACTTTCCTTTGGTCTTCCGTATCCAAATGGGTAATCTGAAAAAAGAAAGCGGTCCCTCCAGACAAAGACTAACAAAATTGAGGGATTTAAGAAATGAGCAGGGATCACAGAGGTGAGAGCGTCTGCAATGGGGATGAAAAAACGTGGAAACCACAAGTTTCGATCTCTCTTGAATATTGGCCGAAACTCCACGGGAAAGACGAGGCTCCAGTGTTTCCAAACTATTGGTTCTTTTCGAAATTGGGCGCCAGGGTCCCCGGGCCAATGCCATCGAGGCAGGCGCCGGGCCCCCTGGAAACGCTCCTCCCATTTGGAGGAGGTTTGCAGGGCGGGGCCTTCGCGCATGCTCCGTGTCCGAGGGCCCATTGGCGCGGCCGCGGGGCGCGTGCGCAGGACATGCTGGGTGCCCGCACGCGGAAGACCTGGCCCCTTGGAGGCTCCCGCTTCGGAAGCGTGGGAGGAGCAAGAAGTGGCAGGTTGTAGATTTTGGTGTTGGCCCCAAGGGGTTCCCCCGGGCCATCAGCAACTCAAGAGACAAAGCGGAGGCACCTCGGTGGCGACTGAGGGGCTGCACCCCCCACCTGTCCTCGAGGCGGGGAGGGGGGGATCGGGAGGGAGCAGCACCGATCTCAGGGTTGAGGCGTGTCCGGGGCTAGGTCCCGGAGTATGGGCGGCCGGCCCGGGTCCCCGAGCATGGGGAGCTGGAACCGCCGAGGCCACCCGGCCGGCCCTGCCCGACCGCCAGCTCCGCGGTGCTAGAGCTGCCGGAGCAGCCGCGGCGTCTGTAGCCCAGCCCCGCTGGAGGCCGAAAGCTAGGAGCATGAGTTCTGCCGCTGCCTAGTTTTCTCGCCCTCCTTCTCATCTCCCTCAGTCCTCCTCCCTCCTCCTCCTGATACCTCGTCCTTCGTTCCCTCTCCCGTGCTCCTTTCTCCCTTCCACCCTGCCCACCACCTTTCCCTCCGTCTCTTCCTTCCTGTCTTCTGTCCTCCTGCTTTTCCATCTCGCCTTTCCCTCCCTCTTGCTCTTTTCCCACCTCCCACTATTCCTCTTTCCTCCATCCTCTTCCTTTATTCACTCGCCCGCCACCACATCCTCTTCTCTACATCATCGTCCCTTTGCCTTCCTCATCCTCCTTCCCTCCATCTCCTCCTCTCCTGCTTTTCCCCGCCCCCGCCCCCGCCCCCAAGCCTCCGCCCCTTAGCCCCCGCCCCCAGCTGCCAGTCCCCAGCAGCTCAGACCTGCAGTGAGAGTCTTGGGAGTCCATAGCTAAGCACCAGGAGCTGAGCACTGTCCGCTGTGCCTGCCTGCAAGTCTCCGACATGGCTCAGGAGAAAATGGAGCTGGACTTTGAGCCTGACACCTCTGATGGGTGCACCCTGAGGAGAGCCAACAGTGCTCCCCTGATCCATGGGCTCAGGTGAGCAGGAGGCGGGGAGGATGGAGTACTGGGTTCAGGGGCTCCTGGACACACTACACCAGCAGTGTTCC